CGGCAATAAAGATATTTCCAAACATTTATTACTTTTGATAAGAAATGACTTTTGATTACTAGAAGAATAACTCAAAGAATAATTTCATTGATAATTGAATTCTTATTTCGCTATAATCTCTAATAAATACATTTTGAAAATATTTCATATAGAAATTAGATCTCTATGTCTAAGTATTTTCGCCACAAATACTCGCACTCAACGCTTTTGAAGTCTTTTCCGAAATTCGTGTCTTTCCTCAACTCGTTTGTGAACTCATAATACGGAGCAATGATTGCGTCGTTTATAGAGTAATATTGCGGCCAAAGACTGTCCTTTTGTTTCGGCGGTTCTCTGAGAACAACAAAACTTCAATTCAAGAAATGATTGCATAAAACGAACCCTTTTTTCGCGAAATCCGTCAAAATCTCAATCATTTGCCGCGAAATCTCTTTTTCTCTTTCATTGAATTTGTCGGCAAAGACGAGAGGAATGCCGAACATCGGGAACAAATCGTTTCCGTGACAAACACCCATCCAATGGCCGCAAATCAAAATGTCCTGAAATTTACTGTTGAATAAGTATTGAAAGACTTTGACCTTAAACTCGGATCTTCTGAACACTTGTTTCGCGAACTCCAGAGTCGGACACGTGATATAGTAGTCGCCGACCGCTTTGCCGATCGTTTGTCGCCACAAATCCGCGGAATTCCGTTCGGAAAGTCCCGCGAAATAGAGTTTCGCGACTTCTTGTCCGTCGACTGGCGTTCGAGACGAGAGTTCGGAAGAGATTTCTTGCAATTCATTGAACGCCTCTTTAAAAGTCAGATTTCGCGGCGTTTTTCCACTGAATTTCTCGGAATCGTAATAATAGGCCAATAAAAAGCTTCCCTCGTCTTCGGTCGTCGAAACCATGAGATTTAGGTCGCGCTTCAAGTCGCCCGAAGACAGCATTTCTTGCGGTCTTTTCGGCAGAAAGTGTCCGTCAATTACCACCAAATTCCACATTTTTATTGATCCGACCGTCAGTTCCTTCGCTTCCAAAATGTCGACCAATTTCTCCGCTTTTGCGGCTCTCAAGCATTGCATCACTTTTTCCGTGAATTTCGCGCCATTTTCTCCGTCTTCACAACCAATCAGTTTCGCGCCCTTTAACCACTTCTTCGCGTGATCTTCGGCTCTGTCGTCATTAAAGGCATACAAATAGGCGCCGGAGTTCATGATGGCGTTGTGGAAGAGGTGTCGCGACGCCGGCGACAGAATGTGAAGACTGACGGACCAACTGCCGGCGCTCTCCCCGAAAATGGTGATTCGCTTCTCGTCGCCGCCGAAGTAGCGGATGTTGTCGTTGACCCACTCCAAGGCCAGCGTCTGATCCCAGAGCCCGACGTTTCCCGGCGCCGACTCTTCGCCCGAATACAGAAATCCCAAAGCGTTTAGTCTTCGGAGAGAAAGAATTGAACGAAAAATCGGTAATAAATGCGAGAAAACCTGTAATTAATGGACACAAAGACAACTCCTTTCGCTGACAACTCTTTGCCGCCGAAAGTGTCCACATTTGCCGTGCCTTTAGTGAGAGCTCCGCCGTGAATCCAAACCATCACTGGATTCAACTCATCGCTGATTTGCGGCGAAACGACATTCAAATAAAGACAGTCTTCGCTGAAACCCGAGTTTGGGAACAAAGAGGAGTTGTATTTCCCGTTTTGATAACACGGAGGCGCGAACTCGAAGGCGTCCAACGGTTGCCGCCATTCCCCGGCGGGAACGGGCCGTCGGAACCGCAAGTCTCCGATCGGAGGTTTGGCGAAAGGAATGCCTTTAAAGACGTGAACGCGTTTGCCGTCGACTGAGAGCTCTTTGCGGCCATTAATGACTCCATTCCCGACTCTGACGACAACAACGCTTTCGTCAACCGTTTGGCCGAAAGTCAAGCAAAGAGTGAACGCAAGAAAACAACGGAAAACAGACATTATTTTAATGAAAACAGATTCTCAATGTTTGGAACAATTGAAGGCCAAATTAAATGATTAGTTTTTATCTCATTTGGAGTTCTGATTAAAGAGTATTTTTTGGTTTACTTTTTAAAGTTTAAAACCATTTCTCAATTTAATAGTATTCAGAGTTTTATTATTTTCATTATTCCTTAATTGAGAAAACAATTAGATTTCGATAAAACATTAGTAATGATTACAAAGTCGTGAACGAAAGGAAAAAACAAAACAAAAACCTTTTTCTCGATATTTCCTGAATTAATATTTTCTCAAAACTATTTTCAAAGTTAAGTAAAACTCAACAAAACATTATCTGAATGTCTGATTAGATCTTCAATCCAACAATTCAAAGGATTAGAAGTATTTGTTTGATTTATTGAAAAATGAGGTTTGCTATTATAAGAAAAGACCTTGCTCATCATTTTGCTCATCATTCTTGAAGGCAACTCTCCATTGAATTGTTGAGAAATCGTTTGAAGTGAATATGAATGCTTCGAAAGCAATGATTTATGGCTTTCTTTTGATTAATACTTTTACAGTAATAAACATTTATTTATAATTAATTCCGGAATTAAATAAATCTTTAAATCTGTGAAATAAGTGAAGATTTTTAATTTTCTTGATTTTTCTTTAAGTCTAAGAAATTGTTAAACTTTTTGATTAAAAGCACTGTTTTTGTCGATTAGTGCCAAACAATTGACGACAAGAATGCGATTATAAGAAGAGCGCAAAAAGCATTCAAATGTCAAACGAATGGATATTTCGCAGACATTAACGAAAAGTATTTCATTTGTGTTTTGAAAATAATGACAACTCTTTTGATCCCTTTTTCAGATGTCTTTTGTTTCACGTTTGCCATCAAAATCCAAACGCAAAAGCCGTGAGTTTTGTATTGAGATATTGCGATATAAATACATGTATTTGTGTGCAGAGGTACCGACTCTTCACATTCCAGTGCAGTCCGGGAACGGTATTCAACCAAATGAGTCAAACGTGTAGTCGAGAGGAAGACCTGTTTGTGAGTTGCGAAGAGTCGACGAAATTGTTTTATTTGAACGAAAGACGCGGCGATCCGTCGGCTCTCTATTTGACGGATAAGGACCTCAAGAATGAGAGCAAAGGCGCGGATAAGGCTTTTGGAGTCATTTCTGACGATAAGGGACTTCCAATTCTCGACGATTAAAAAGTGAAATCAACGAAATTTTTTACAACGAAATGATAGAAAAATAAATGAATTGAAAACGAGTTAAACGCTTATAAATACACAAAACAATTGAAACAAAACACCGACGGCTCTAATATATCGCCAATTATTCCGCTTTTGTTATTATAAGTCTCCATTAATTGCGTTCAAAGAGGTGTTGACCGACGAGTACTTTATTTTTTATTTGTTTCAGTTATAAAATTCAAATGCGATACAAGTGTTTGGATTTATTGTCAATTCATTTAATTGTTTTGTTTTATTATTTAAATAAAAGTCTCGACTGTTTTCCAGTACTAGTTGTGCTGTTTTTGATAAATATATTTCATTGAGATTAACAGAGAGTTGATTATGAAAATTGACGGCAAATACAAATCCCACAGAATTGGAGACAATTCTCGTCAAAACTAACACTTCTTTTGCCCAAACTTTTGCAAACATTGTTTCACTCGAAAACTTATTTCTCAAAACAACTAAATCTCTAAATATCTTCAAAAACGACAACCCATTCGTCTTGAGCTCTTCCTCCACATTGATATCGACATAATTGAAGCCAATCGTAAGCCATGGCTTTAAATCTGTTTTATTACTGAATCCGGCGTTCATTGAG